TCGTGGGCTCCTGGGAGGCCCAGCGGAGGTGTCCCACGCGGATCACCTCGGACCTCGCCGCCCCCTGGGGGGCTTGCGATCTGCGCAATTGTCGCCACTTTCGTGGGCTCCTGGGAGGCCCAGCGGAGGTGGGTCCCACGCGGATCACCTCGGTACCTCGCCGCCCCCTGGGGGGCTTGCGATCTGCGCAATTGTCGCCACTTTCGTGGGCTCCTGGGAGGCCCAGCGGAGGTGGGTCGCTCACTCGCCGTGGGAGGCTTGCCTGCGATTGTCGCCACTTTCGCGGGCTCCTGGGGGCCCAGCGGAGGTGGGTCCCACGCGGATCACCTCGGTACCTCGCGGTCCCCTTTGGGGGGCTTGCGATCTGCGCAACTGTCGCCACTTTCGTGGGCTCCTGGGAGGCCCAGCGGAGGTGGGTCCCACGCGGATCACCTCGGTACCTCGCCGCCCTGGGGGGCTTGCGATCTGCGCAATTGTCGCCACTTTCGTGGGCTCCTGGGAGGCCCAGCGGAGGTGGGTCCCACGCGGATCACCTCGGTACCTCGCCGCCCCGTGGGGGGCTTGCGATCTGCGCAATTGTCGCCACTTTCGTGGGCTCCTGGGAGGCCCAGCGGAGGTGGGTCCCACGCGCATCACCACGGGGCCTCGCTGCCCCTTTGGGGGGCTTGCGATCTGCGCAATTGTCGCCACTTTCGTGGGCTCCTGGGAGGCCCAGCGGATGTACTTCATACGCGGATCACCACGGGACCTCGCCGCCCCCTTTGGGGGGCTTGCGTCTGTCGTGGGCTCCTGGGAGGCCCAGCGGAGGTACGTCATACGCGGATCACCACGGGACTTCTTATTGCGCTCTTCTGAAAGCATTGTTCGGTGCTCTTTCTGCGCACTGCGGGTCCTTCAGAATGCCAGTCAGCATTGAGTGGTCCTGAGTACAATCGCCACATGTGTAGAAAGGGTTGGGTACGTCACAGGGTAATTTCTGAACCGAACTTATCGGGGCCCATCCAGTTCAGACGCCCCGGCCGCCTCTGCCTCGGAGGTTCTTCGGTAGGCAGCCACATCTGAACCCTACCTCTGCAGGCCAGATTTGAAACCACTGCCTGGGTTTAGGATTTGCAGGATGTCTGCAGCCAAGTGAACCCCAGCTGGGGTGTCCGATACCCCAGCGTCGATGATTGGACCCGTGGAGGTCGGGTCCGCAAGTGGTCGCAGATTCGGACCCCAGAGTTGTGTCCATCAGTTCCACGTCGTCGAGGGCGTTCCTGGGAGGCTGGGATCGTCCCGAGCGGCCGCCAAGGACCCGACGGCAGGACCCGAAAACGTATTCACCGGGAAGAAGACGGGTCCCGAGGGAAATGTGCCCTTGCCGTGGCAGGCCCCATGGGGCCTGCCACGGGCCCCAGGATCGTCAGGAAACGGATCGGGACGGAGTACTCTGGTCTTGGCAGGAGGCCCTATGACCCGTATCCCGGGAGGGACAAAGCGTCCAATGACACGCCGCCGTTGCGAATCCGCCAGCGTGTTGTTTTGTAGTTCTTGCGCAAAGGCTTGGTGCTGCTGCAGTAGAAACACACTGATGGATTCCCCATGGCGGCGTGTCGATGGCACTGTCCAGGTCATCCCATGCCTGGATTCGTTTCAATACGGGGTTCCTGGAAGTCCCCACCCTTTCCCCATGGGCCAGCTTTTCACCCAGTTATGTGACTGTCCCGGGGCCAGGCGAGGCCCCTGGACGCGGCAAGCGGCCAAACCAAGTTAGGTTTATCTGTTTCAGAAAGAACGCGACCATTCCTACGGCTTTTGCTCCCTAATGGAATGGTCGGTTCGACTTGCAACAGTTGCAACAGTTGCTGCAAGTTGGCCTCAGTGCTCGATGCCGAGCAAGTCGGGGGCCCAACTTGCAGCAGCCAGGCAGTCTTGCAACGCACCTGCAACTGCCTGACAAGTGCGTAGCAACCACCTTGCAACTGTTGCAAGTCACATCGATCACTGCAGCATGGGCAAGCGTTTCATGCCGAGCCGTGTTTTTGACGGTCCTGGGACCTGGCGAGGTCTTCCGTACGCCGCAAACGGTCAAATATTTCCATCGCTACGCTTAACAACGCGACCATGTCAGGGGCCTGAAGTGGCACAGCATTGGTTCCCGCCAGCAGACCAGCGGGAGAGGGGGGGGGGGCGAGGTTCGAGCTCTCGGTTCAAGCACGTCTTTTGCCTCTTTCGGCCTCTGAGGGCTGTTCTTGGGCCCCAGGACCACCAAAAACAGATCGGGGGTGAATACCTGCACCAGATGGACCCTGGGAGGGGTTCGGGTACCGACTTTGAGCGGAGTTGGCCGTCTCCCCCTTTCTTGAACGACCTTTTCGAAGGGCGCCCAGATCCCCCTGCCCCCTCCAACTCAGAGATTCTTCGGTAGGCAACCACATGTGAACCAGCTGGGGTTCAGGATTTCCCCTGCAGGTCAGATTTCCCCTGCAGGTCAGATTTCCCCTAAACCAGCTGGGGCTCAGGATTAACCTCAGCGGGGGTGTCCGATGCCTCAGCGGACCCGTAAGGTAGACTTCGATTGCACCCGTCGAGTGGCCAGGCAGACCTGCAACCCACCCGCAGGTGCCTTGCAAGTGTGTCGCAACCACCTTGCAAATGTTGCAAGTCACCGATTACAGCAGTAGTTTTCGTCTGGGCCCATCTGCGTCCTGCCAAGCAGGCGCTGGCGCTGGCGCTGGCGGTGCCCGCCCGCCAGTCCCGCAGCGTCGCCCCCACGGCCCCGCGCGGTGGCGTGGCGAGGTCCCGCGCGGCGCCCGCCGCGACGCCCGACGCGGCGCGGGTGGTGGCGGACCCGATCGCCGAGCTGCGCTGCTACGACGTCCTGCAGGTCTGGCCATGAATTCAGCGGGGTCGTATGTTGTTTTCGAGAATCCCTCAGCTCCTAGCGCTGCAATTTTCACAACAGGGTAGGTTGCCGTGTGTCGGGCTCCGGGATCCTTACAGATCGACTCGTCTCGAAACAAATCGCAAAAAGATGGAGTCTAGGGCTCCAGTCGTGATTTCTTGCGATGCTTATTATTTTTCAATGTAGTTTTTTCGCTTTGAGCGACTCGATCGGATAGCTGCGCTGCTACGGCGTACGCCCCTCGGTTTTCTGGCCTCGGGATGCCTTTCAGTGGGTGCGCCTCGCCGAGAGCATTCCCGGGGTGCCAGAATCGTCCCGAAGAACCGCCCGAGACCAGAGTCATGTCCCGCAAGCCAGACGAGGGGGATCACTGGGCTGGATAGGCTCAGGAGGGAATTCCTTGACCCCCCATCGCCTACTGATCGGCGATAGGGGCCTGATAGCCCCAACATGTCCAGGAACCTGCGGCTTCGCTATCAAGGACCTATCGCCGATCTAGCGGCAACGTATCGTCGATGTTTTCCCCTATGAGCAAGTCCTCCCCTTTCGTTGCCCCTGCCCTGTGTGGCGCAATCGGGTATGTTTTCCCGTGAGCCTAAAAACAAGCCCGTACCGTATCCGCGGCCCCGCGGGCCCCGGGATGCCGGAATCGCCCCGAACGGCGGCCGCAAGAGATCCAATTCATGATCCCAATATTTCCTCACCATGAATCGAGAAAGCGCGATTTCCATGCAGAATCGGCGCGCACCACCACCAAATCGGCCGGCACTGGCGCCATCTCTCGGGGCTGCCTTCCCAGATCCATGGATAGGGCGAGCGCGCACCAGATCCACGTATCCCTAGTCCATGTTAGCGTGCGCCCGAATGAAGGAGAGCGGGCCCAATGACAGACGCAGATCGCCACGAGGCAAGCCCAGGTCTCCGACGAGATGTGTTTTTCAATCCCGGCGGCTCTTCCTCGATCTGGGCATCCAGGGCCCGTTCTCGGCGTCACCCCAACTCACTAATACTATGTGTGCGTCGCCCCCCCAGGGGCGACGCGCCCGCCGAGAAATCTTATACTATATGCGCGGTGGCGGGCGCTTTCTGGCCACACTGCTCGGGAAAGAATATGCTACAAGATGGTTGTACTATATGTTCGGGTCGGATACGGCTCCAAGTACCCATCCACGCCTCCACGGACTCATAGACGTAGGTTGGGGGGTGAGATTGCAGTGGAACGGAGAGCCCCCCACCGGGAAATCGGTTTCGGTTTCGTGTTCGTGTCGTGCGTGCGGGCGAGTCGAGGCTGCGTGTGCGCGCGAGAGGAATGACCCCGCCGTCGCTGGGGCGATTCGGATTCAGTAGACCGCCGCTCTGCCCCTGGTGGGCGCGCGGTGGCCCAGGGTGTCCCGCCGTGGTGTCTTGTGGTGTCCCGTGGATGTCCCGTTGGTGCTCCGTCGGTGTTCCGTCGGCGGTGGGCGGGCGGTGGCCGGGGGTGTCCCGCCGTGGGCCGTGGTATCGATAATGAAGTAGTGGGATCGGTAGTGAAATCACTGGAATGGGATGGATCGTGAGATCAAAAGTGAGATCGAGAGTGAGGTTGATTGTGACATTGGTTGTGAGATCGATAGTGAGATCAAAACTGATAATGGGATCGAAAGCGAGATCGATAGTGAGAACGATAATGACATTTCATCGCAGCTCAACGTCATTGCGCGTCGTCGCTAACTCGAGGGCGCGTCACCAGCATCGTCATCATCACACCCATTGCATTTGCCAGCAGTTGGTTCTTCCCCCCCCACCACCCAATCTCCGTATCACCTGAAGGGTGCTCGTATAGGTACTCGTATGTCCCTGTGCGTCCCACGTTCTCGATCGGGACCATCAAAATTGATCTGGGATGGACACTTCCCCGAGGAAGCTGTCGGGGCTTCTGGGGCTAACCGGAAGCGAGTCCGAGTCATGGGGCCCTCCACGGGCCCCGGGACCGTCAGACAACGATTCAGGATGAAAAGCTGGGGTCGGGGAAGGCCTGGAGGTCTAGGACACGTTTCTCTCATGACCCGTTTGATTCACACCGAAGGTTCCGCGCGATGCGCTTTTGAGCAAGATCAAGTCGTCGTTCCGGAGAATGGCGCTGGTGTACCACCCAGACAAGCCAACGGGTGACCACAAGGCCTTCATCTGCTTGCAGACAGCATTCGAGCTCCTGCAGGACGCGTCCAAGCGTGCCGACTACGACCAGGATCTCCACGATTCTGGGAGCCAGGACGGCATGAGCAGCATCTTCAGCGGCGAGGGGCCCGAGACGTCCACAGCCGAGTCGTTGGCGAACCCAGAGGCGCTGCGTGAGACATTCCTCGGCGTCCCCCAGTCCAGCTGGGAGGCTCTCGCCAGGAAGCTCAGCGCCCCGAACCGCCGGGCCCTGCTGGGATTCCTCAACGACCATCGTGAGAGGTACGTCCAGCCGAAGCAGGCGGACAGGACGGAGGTATCGACCACTCGGCAGAAGGGCGGCGGGGGGCCGAGCTTGGGGATCATTCGCAAGGGCAGCGGTTATGCCGCAAAGGCGACCTACGGCTCTTTCATCGTTGCCACGTACAGGGAGGACCTGACCGGGGCCATCGACGCCCGCATGGCCCTTCTTCAGCTCAAAACCCGGCTGGTGGAGCTCGGCGGTATGAAGTTCAAGTCCAAGGCATTGGCGGCCGTGGTCGTCGAAGACAAGTTCGACGACGCCATGAGGCAGGGGATCTCCGAGCTGCGGGCTGCCGAGCAGGCCTCTGCGTTCTACCTCAAGTTCTCGTTCGAGCTGGCCAAGCAGAGGCACCAGCGCCTGACCTCCTCCACCACCTGCGACTTGGAGGTGGCGCTCAAGGACCGGAGGGATCTGATCGGAGCCAGTCCTGGCGCGGATGCTGACAGGGTGCACAGCCGCATCAAGGTTCAAAGAAGAACAAACAAAAACAAGCATACATCTTCCGAGGTCCGATCGGATTTCTTGGATCGGAGCTCGGCCCCCCCCCTTGTCGCGGGCAGCGCGCTGGGAGCGCCAGAGGCTCCGCCAAGGGGGTTCCAGCGCTGATCCAAGAACTCCGCGCGGCCCCCCGAAAGATTACGATCGCGAGCGTTTGCTTATCGTGTCGCGCCGCCAGTTCTGGCCCACCCTCTTTCTACGCGACACGCTAGCCACGTCCCAGTCTCCAAGCGTCAACGTCTTCAGCATTTCCAGACCTCCCGCTCCGCGGAGCGGAGCGACACGCTATCCGCGTGAAAAGCATAGAGTCAAGAGGCTGAAGTAAGGCCCTATCTTGACTCAGGGGGAATTCTGGTCTTTGGGCTGTTCCTTGGACCTGAGTCGGAGACCTGTTCGAGGCCAAGGCTCGCCGTGGCCAGGGAAGCCAGTTCGATCCTTATTCGGCGTCCCTTACCGTAGCACGATGACCGTAGCGCGTCGCTGGGGCCGCCGCAGCGACACGCTGAGCAAAAGTTCCCGACCGTATGTTCCGTGTCGTGGCCTCTTCTTCGAAAGGCGGAGGCCAAGGCGCGGCAGGCGGATCTCAACGACAGCGCGCGGCGCCGGGATGGCGTATCAGCCCTGATCCAGCTTCTGCAGGAGCCCTTGGCCCTCCCAGAGAAGGTGAGGGTAGCAGAAGGGATGGTAGGAGGAGGGATGGGGGCGATGAGGAAGGGGCGTGGAGGAGGGGGAGGGGGAGGGGGAGGAGGAGGAGAAGAAAGAGGGGACATAATTGAGGAAGAAGTTGGGCGTGTTGATGAACACGGTGAAGTGATGATGATGATGATGATGATGATGATGATGATGAGGAGGACGATGATGAGGATGGTTCTGATGATCATGGTGATGATGGTGATGATGACGGTTGTGAGGATGGCGATGATGACGACGATGTTTACGATGTTGATGATAATGACGATGATGATGATGACAATGACGATGTTGATGATGATGATGCTGATGATGTTGATGCGGATGTTGCTGTTGATGATGATGAATATAATGATGCTGATGTTGTTGATAATGATGATGACGATGAGACCATGGCGATGATGATGATGATGATGATGATGATGATGAGGATGAGGATGAGGATGAGGATGAGGATGAGGATGAGGATGAGGATGAAGCTGACGATGATGACGATGTTCGTGCTGCTGCTGATGACGATAACGATGATGAAGCTGATGATAGTGAGGATGATGATGTTGAGGATGCTGGTGCTGCTGATAATGATGATGCTGATGCTGATGATGATGCTGATGACGATGAGAATGATAGAGATGCAAATGAACGCGGAACTGACTCTACTGACTTACGCCTCAGCCCTGAGTTGAGTGTACATTGTTTCCTGTGGTTTTGTGGGGCGTCCTGGGTGATGGTGATGTAGAAGCAAGCGGGAGGGTCGGTTTTTGCGTGTCTTGTGGGCATTTGGGGCCGCCTGGAGGCCGTCTTGGGCGCCTTGGAACGATCTTGCAGCGACCCGGGGCCTCCTTGCACTGTCTTGGGTGCGTGTTGGGGCCTTCGTGGGTCGTCGGGGAGCCCTGTATCCGCCCATGATGGCGGGGGGGTGGGGCAATGGGGGGAAATCGGGGGGGGGAAGCAGTTTCACACGCATAGAGACCAACAGGGGGTTGGCGGGAATTCTCCGAATCCGATGTCATCCTCGTCCTGGCTTCGTCTTCGGTGCACCGCTTCGCATGCATGTGCAGTCAAGGCGTTGTAACCCAGGAGTATCCTCGCCCGCTATGTTAGCGCACATGTTGCAGTTGGCGGTCCAACGAAAACATGAACGGGTTTTATGTCAGGACACCCCTGGAGCCGACGGTTTTCGGTTTTGTGTCGATCCCCTGAAAACCTTGCTGGGCCCCAAGGGAAGGAAACTCAACCCTCAGCAGAAGTATTTGGCGCTGAGTGTGTTTTGCAAAGGGATTTGGACCAGAGCGAGGGCTCAGGCCGCTGGATACTCGTGCGACGGACTTTGCCCGAAGTGCGGGATGCCCGACAGCGTGCGGCACCGCGTTTGGCAGTGCCTTCACCCTGACGCCGTCGCCGCCCGTAAAAGCGTTACTGATGACTCTCTTGTTGAATGGTTGGACGAAGCTCTTGAAAGTCAGGACCGTTTGTTCTTTGATGAGTTAAAGTGGGAGCACCCTGAAGCCTCCTACCGTCCTCCGTCCTCGGCCACTCAACCCATCCTGTAATCTCCTGAAGGGGATATTATTGATTGGGGCTCTGTGGACCTCTCGGGTTGCGATGTCGTCATGGACGGCTCGGCCTATCGGCATACCGTTAGGGAGTTGTCCAGAGCGGCTTAATCCTAGGTTTTCTTGGGAGAGGGCGACACTATTATTGCGTACGCCAAAGGTACTGTTCTTTCGGTCCTCCCCCAGACCTCCCAAGCTGCGGAGCACCTTTGCATGGCCCTCCTCCCGATGTTTCAGAGCAACGGCGGAGACCGCCACACCGATTGCATGAATGTGGTGCGCATCTGTGTGGCGACGAGGGAGTACCAGGTTTTTCATAAACATCGTTATGCTGGTCTTCGGAGAGGTGCCCTGCTCCATGAGAAGTTCCCCATCCCGTCGGTGCACCACACACCTGCGCACCGTGCGCGCGCTGTTCTGGATGCTCTGCCAGCGCACGAGAAACGGATTGGCACAGGCAACTTGAACGCCGACGCCCTTGCCAAGCAAGCTTTCCTCCTCCATCCCCAACCCAGTGTGCACGAACGTACGGAGGTGGACAGGAAGTGTGATTTGTTGGCTTTCGCTGCTAGGGTGGCGGGCACCGTGCTTGCCACCTTTCCTCCCGAAAAGTTTGAGCGTCGGCCTTTGGGACCGAGGGCTAAGTTTTTTTAAAACCGGGAGGTTGGCATTCCTGGCAGGAAATAGGTCAGGGCTGCGCCAGATGTTTGCATTGCCTTTGTTTGTCCACTGATCGGGATGCGCGCCCCATGTTGGGATGTAAAGGACCCAGCAGACTGTGGCGTGGTGTCCTGGATCGGTCCTTGGGGCACTCGCTGGCGCATTGCATTGTAAGCAAACGCGAGCGGAGGCTCACCCTCTTCTTTTGCTCCACGTGCGGAGCGTACTCCTCTGCGCGCTGTCATATGCTCGGCAAGGAGTGCCTTCAGCGCCGACTGGCGGGTGGCACTACCGTGCTGAAGAGGATCTTTGCTGGCCTCTATCTTCGCTATCGTGACAAAAGCACGGTGAGCGAATCCTCGAGGCGAGGCGTGGCTTTCTTTTGCTACGAGTCTCAGAGGCCACCGCCGCCAGATGTCAGCCTGCCGCTTTCGCCGTCAGGGCTGATAGAGACGGCAGGTATGGCGGCGCTCCTGGCACGCATTCAGGCCCGTGAAGCGTCGGCGGTGGCACGGCCCGTTGCCGCGCCTTTAGGCGACGCACCGTGACCAGATTTTGACCAGATTTTGTTGGTGGCGGGTGGCTAAATCTGGGGCCTCATCTGTCCCCTGTCCCGCCCGCTGTCCCTCATCTGCTGGGCTGTACGTCAGACGTGCTCAGCGGGTGAGCTGGTATTCGGCCATCGTGGCCGACGTGCTGTTTCAAAATCGTTCAGGCCCCCAGGGGATCGCTGACAAAAAAAAAGTAACCCAGGAGTATACAATGTTTCAGAAGGGGGTCTCTGCTTATGCGGGCCGCTTTTCGGGCCCCTAGGTTTGGGAGTCGTCTCGTGGCCGAGGCTCGCCGTGGCCGGGAAGGTCTTGCCGTTCTTCACCCCCAGACGACCGATGCCCTGATTATTGTCAATGCGTGGCCCCCCGAAGTCCCAAACCTGTCTCCACCGCCGGCGAGTCATCCCGAGTCCTTGTTGGACGTTCCCGGGTCCCAGCGATGGCCCCTGATGAAGATCACCCACGTTGTTTTTTCGCCAAAGCGTTGCGTGATATCCGATCTTGAACACAAGCCGTTGGGTCGGTTTGCGAGGTCGCCGCGGCGATCGCGGCGGCCACAAATCGGGGCAAGTTCTTGTCTGGCGATGATGAGGACGAAGACGGTGGTGGTGGGGAGAGTTTGGACGAGAAAAGGAGTCACGTGTGATACCCTTTGTGTTCACTAGCGAGGAGTTTACATGGATGTTATGACAACGTTTGGGGTCCTCCTGTGCTCTTGTGGTACACTGATCAGGGTTTCTTGGGGCTCCATAGGGCATTTGGTGGGAAACGTTGGGCAGCCCAGACGTTCTCTCGTCCTCTCGTGGCCGTTTGCGTCGTCTTGGGGTCGTCGTGAGCCCGTCTTGGACAGTCCAAGCGTGCGCTTGATTTTTGGTGTGGTGTCATGGCTATGGCTTGGTTCGGGCCAGTGCGTCGATGCTTGTAGTATCGGTGCGCTTCGATGGTCCGGCCTTGGGACATTTGGAGCTGATTGGGGACTCGAGGATTGTGTAGGGTACCCACGGTGCGTGTATGAATTGGCGGGGACAGTGTTTAAAACAAACAGGACATCTGATGAGTAGGTGGAGCGAGGAGCTGGGAGGGGGCTACTGGCGGCAAGTGGTATGCAGGAGCCAAAGGAACGAGGGGCAGTGGGAGCAGCAGCGACCGCAAAGTCATAGCTCGCGCCTGGGCTCAACGCGACTCGTCGCCTTGAGCGGCTGCAGTTCGGCACCTGGGCCGAAGGACGCGCCCGGCCAGTGGGCGGGCGTCCGAGCAAACGGGCGCTGGCGCATGCGCGTGGAGATACGGTTTTTACCGGCTTGTCCGAATCAAACCGAGGCCTTATTAGCCGGCTTGAAACGTTGAGGTCTTTACCGGGAGGGCTTAAATCACCTGAGGCCCTTACAGGCGGGGTTGAAGCGCGAGTTCTTCGGTGTTGCGCCAAGGGCGCCACGGTCGGAAGCGCGCGCGCGCGGATGAGAGGCCATCCAAGGGAGGTCGCAGGTGCGGTTGGGAACACGGGTGCTGACAACTCGTGGCTTGCGGCTGATTAGCTTGAAATGCGTGGAGCTGCAATTGCGTGGACAAGGCACACGGAAATCGAAACCGGGAGAGACACAATGGATCACATGCGTTGTCGACAAAGGGAAATCGCCACCACCGCGTGTGGATCAAGACCAGAATCGGCGGATCGACGCGCTAAGCCACATTTGCTCTGGATGTAACAGTAATCGGCCTACCTTGGGTCCGCGCGGGGGTTGGGCACGGGTTGTCGGAACGGGTGGAGGGAGGGTTGGAGGAATAGCGAGAGGCAAAGGCGGAGGCGCATCCGGGGCGTCGTCGATTCACGCCTGCAGCGGGGGCAGGCGAACAACTCAAACTAGGTGCCCCTGCGGGATGTACGGGCGCGTGGCGGGGGCAGCGTCCCCCAGGACCGCCTGGGGCGCCGTTCGGCCCGCGAAGGACACGTGGGGCGAGCGTGCCCCGCCGCAGGAGGGCCCCGAAGAAACTCCGAAGGCTTCCGAGGAGAAAGGAGGAGGACGCTGGCCCCCTTGGGGCGAACATCCCCGTCAAGAGGGGAGGCCCACGTTCACCCCGAGAAAATGACAGAGTAGGACATGGGGGGGATGAGGCGGGCGGCGCGGCGGGTGGGCGAGGCCTTGTAGCTCGCGCGCCTGCCTCAATGCCTGACCCTGCCTGAGA